ATATATATATATATATATATAATGTGTGCGTGTATCTATATGTATCTATATGTATCTATATGTATCTATACGTATCTATGTATCTATGCATCTATGTATCTATATGTATCTATGTATCTATGGATCTATCTGTATCTATATGTATCTATATGTATCTATGTATCTATGAATTTATATGTATCTATGTGTCTATATGTATTTATGTGTATATGTATCTAAATGTATCTATATGTATCTATGTATCTATACGTATTTACATATCTATATATATCTATATATGTATCTATGTATCTATATCTCCATGTATCTATGTATCTATGTATCTATATATACTTATACATGTATGTCTCTGTATCTATATATTGATACTTATACATGTGTGTGTGTGTGTGTATATATATATATTAGTACTGTTTTATATGAGTTGGTGGCAGGTCAGGTAAGAATTATGTGGTCACAATTTGAATATATTTAAATATCAAACAGCTAAAAATTTATATTTATATATAACATTTTAGTGCATAAATACGTGCATGCAAAATTATATTTCAATTTGAAAGAATAGTATTGATGATATTTTTAATGTGATATTATATTTTGATTGTTATGTATGTGAATATAAAAAATGTTAGATATGTAAATATATTTAAGAAGAATTGAAAGGTATTTATGTTCACCCTTATATATAAATGTGATATGTATGTAAATACCTCCCGCAAAAATGGTTCCTTTTTTTTAAAACGCAATTGCGTTGAGAAATTACGCAGAACATATTTGTTCGGAATTTGACGATCATTCCACCCCTTCCTATAAATTTGTTCGAAGCGCTACCTTGCCGCCGACTCGCGAATAAGGTCTGTGCGTGCTCCACTTTTCTCTTCTCACACGCTCTTCTCACTCTCTGCGAAGATGGGAGATTATAACGACGCGATGATGCGTAATCCCAACGCCGCTGTACAGGCTCGTACCAAGGCGCAGAATCGAGCTAACGTTCTCCAGTTAAAACTGGTAATACAAAGATGCCCTAGCTCTTCCAACTCTCCATGAACTCCGCCCTTGTTCTTTTCGATATGATTTGGGAATCTCGTTGTCCTATTAGGGATTTTATTTTTTTACAAGTTTCTTCATTAATAGACTTGTTTTGATTCCCTTCGGATACTTCGTATTCCTGTTCGAATTTCCTTCTATTGAACATTTACACTGCTTTCAGTTGATCTCATTGCACGTATGCTGTGTTTATTGGGAACTTGTATGTCCTCAATTTCAATCCAAGATCTGTGCCAAATATGATGAACTTATCAGTATAATTTAGGTTTTCTAATTGTTTTTGTTTCTGCTGGGGCGGTGGTGGTGATGTGATGTATGGTATTAGGAAAACGTAGGGGCTGGGGTTGAACTATGATTTAGAATATATTGCAAAAATAGATTTAGTAAATCTTTTGTGTGTTGAATCTTAAAATTGTTTGCATGATAGATGTAATATCTATTTAAATCTTAGTAAATAGTTTGGTAGATATTTCCAAGATTTTGGATTTTAAGGAGAGAAAGGATGCATTGAGGAGAAGTGGTGTAGATCTCTTAAATCCCACCTCCTTTAGGATTTACTGAACCCAGGATTTTGCTCAACAACTTTTGGGCAAGATTTACTCTAAAGCTTGGCTAAATTTTTTGTTAAATTTTGTAACCAAACTTTCTCAATGATGGGGTAGTGAAATATAATAAAATACGATTTTAAGGTTTTGATTATTGTGAATGTAGAATCAGTGATACCCATTGTTGATCTCTTGCTTTCATGTTACAAATGAACGTAGTTGGTTTGTAGGTTCTCATTAGTATAATTTGATTGGTTGTCGTGTGGGGTGGGGATGATATTAAAAAAATTCAAGGGCTATTTTGGTCCAAATAGGATTTAGAAAATCCTGTAAAAACATATTTAGTAAATTTTGTATGTTTTGTCTTAAAATTTTTGACATAATGATGAATTAATTTAAATATTAGTAAATTGTTTGGTTGATAGTTCCAAGTTCTTAGAATTTAAGAACAAAAATGATGCATTGAGCTGTGTAAATATATTAAATCCTACTTTTTTTAGGATTTATTAAATCCAAGGTTTAGCCTAAAATCGGAAAAAAATGGGATTTAAGAAGTTAGTAGCTCAAAAAACTATTTGACAAGATTTGCTCTATGTCTTGGCTAAATCTTGGTTAAAATTTGTAACCAAACTTTATCAAGACTGGGCAAGTGAAATATAATAATTTTTATTAATGTTTTGATTCCTGTGAATTTATGTTCTATGTTAGTCAGTCTTGATATCCTGGTTTCACATTACAAATGGGCATGGTTGATTGGCAGTGAATTGTGAGAAACCTAGGGACAAGTCTTCGAGTAGCATAACTTGAAATTATTGCCATGGTTATACCCAATTAATCGATAAACCATCCGTTTCACATGGTTTTTTATCTTTTCATAGTTTTCATCAGTTAGTGGGAATAATTTTTTCGTTGGGACTATAGATGTAGCTAACAATAAGCTAGTGAGAGAAGTAGAGCGACTTTGATTTTTAAACTCAGAAACATGATTAGTAGGACTAACATGGTTTAAAAGTTGAATGCAGTTTGACTTATGAATTTTTTCTTAGTTTCCATTGTTAAGAGGATATATAATCATTGTTAACATTAGTCTTTTCTTGACTATCAGTCATCTATTTCTTTTTTTTGAATAATTATTTTTCATTCATTTTGTGTTGTATGAGGTGCTAAATCAACCTATGCAAATCTGTTTGCATTACTTAATGCTAGCTTAATCCACTTTTTATTTTCCTACCCTCATCCTTTCACATTGAATTTCTTACTGTTCTTGTTAATGCTTGTTCTAACCCTTTATATTTACTAAAATTCAAAGTATTGTTTGTACTTAGCTTGAATATGTAGTATTTCTACTATTTCTTTAATACGAGCAAATGTTGAAGTAAAAGTCAATATTCATGTCATTTTGCATATCACCTTGTCTATGAAGTATTTTTTATCATCTAATACCAAGATCTGTACAGTTTAACAAATTTAATTATAAATTCCTTTAGTTTTTGGCTAAATTTTTTATAAAATTCTCAATAATTCTCTAAACAGTTTACGTTAATTTTGGAAGTTAAATATGAACTACATCCTCATTTTTTTTTATGGAGTCAAGGTTTATAAACATATCATATTTAGAATTCTAAGTGCTACCTGTTCTTTCAATAAAAATATCATATAAAATGTGATTGTTGTAAGAAAAGTTGTTCCATTTCTTCGAAAGGGAAAAATGTTATGATATTGTTGAATTGCTTTTTCAAAAAAATATTATTCCCACAATAGTTCTACAATTACTTTTATAGATAAGTGCATTCATATTAAACATATTCTAAATTAATTGTATTAACAAAAACAATGCATTCATATTAGATCATTATGGCATAAAAATGAATTATTCACCAATAAGTACAATAAATTTATCTTTTCTATACCTGTATGTTATTGCTCCTTCCATAACTTAATCTTATGACACTCCTTAGTTGATGACTCTGTAATTGCCATCACTAGCAGCATTGTTTTTTGTTCTTTAATTCTGCAATTCAAATAGATTTTATCCAATAATTTTGCATCCCTTTAATCCTAAATAATTCTTTAAGAATACGCATTAGCGAAGTACTCCATTTTCTTCAATAATTCTCCAAATCACAATTAGTATCTTCTTCTGAGTTGTCTGCCGTTTTATGCTGATCTATACTTTATACCTGATTTTATACATTATGCTCCTTTACAATGAATTCATTCTTAATGCCATAATTTAATAATTTATAAATATTCATTTTTATGTTTTCACCCTTGAATAATTTCTTTATGGTTTCATTTTTAATACATTTATCTTGGTTAATTTCTCTAGATCTTCTACCTTGAGAAACAGTTTATATATATAT